ACCTCTGCTGGAACCTCTCACCCCAGCAGAGAACTCTGGCCCATGATTACAATAATCAGCCACCTCTGTTCAAATAATCATCCAATCCGGCCTGCTTCCTTCCCTACAGCTTGCCTGAATCCCAGCTCTAACCAGACTTGAATTTCCCCTGGCATGAGCTATTGCAGTTCCCTTCTCTCTGTTCTATTTGAGCCCCAGCTCCCCAGATTCCCACCTCTGCTGGATGCTATTGACACTGTGAGGGAGTGCTCACCCCACACCTGCCCCTGAAAGGGTTAAGGTGGCTAGACAGGCCAATTAACTACCTCAGATGCACCTGGAGGAGGAGCCAGGGAACAATGAGAACTAATTAAAGGTTGAAGCTCACCTGAACAGGAACAGGTGGGGCTGGTATAAAGCAAGGTAGCTTAGGGCAGAAGGGGGCTCCAGGGAGGAGGTCTGCAGTCACTCTCTGAGGCTAGGGAGAGGTGAGGCTTGGCCAGGAGGGAAGGGTTTATCTGGAGAAGGGTGCAGATGGAGGCTGATAGAGGCAACATAGGAAGCAATCCAAGGAATCAGAAACAAGGCATGGGACAGGATAGACCTTAGCTGCTGGTTCAGGGTCCCTGGGCTGGAACACAAAGATGAGGGTGAGCCCATGTTCCCCTACCAGCCACTGGGAATGTGGCACCATTGAGGGGCAGTGAATTGGAAGACTGCTTGGGACAGTAGGGGACATATGGTACAGAAACCTCCCAGAAAGGAGAAACTACAGTGACCTAACCGGAGGGACAAGCCACAAGGAGGGAGCCATCGAGTGCGGGTAGACAGAGAGTGTCAGAGTGAGCACTCGCAGGAAGGGGATTCAGAAAGGCAGAGCTAATTCCAAGCTGTGGCCACAAGGAGGTGCCCCATTGGGGATGAGAGCACACACTGACAGTGTGGACACTTGTGGATGGGAGGGAAGAGGTAGATGTGGTATATCTTGAATTTAGTAAGGCTTTTGATACTGTCTTGCGTGACCTTCTCATAGACAAACTAGGGAAATACCACCCAGATGGAGCTACTATAAGGTGGGTGTATAACGGATTGGTAAACCGTTCCCAGAGAATAGTTATCAGTGGATCACAGTCAAGCTGGAAGGGCATATCAAGGGGGATCCTGCAAGGATCCATTTGGGGTCTGGTTCTATTCAATATCTCATCACTGATTTAGATAATGGCATAGAGAGGACACTTATAAAGTTTGTGGACAATACCAAGCTGGGAGAGTTTGAAAGTGCTTTGGAGGATAGGATTAAAATTCAAAATGATCTGGACAAACTGGAGAAATGGTTTGAAGTAAATAGGATGAAATTCAATAAGGATAAATTACTCCTGGGGGAATTTTTTGCCCCAAAATTATAAATTCTGCACCCCACTCTGTCCTAAACTGCCTCCACGGTCAAGGTGCTGCTCATGGGGGAATTCTGCATCACTGGGCATTTACTGGGAATTTAGTATTTTCCCACATAAAATACATTTGTTTTTGTGCCACAGCGGCCTCTGGTGGGCAAAAGGCAGAACTGCAGAACTTCTTATGCAAAATGTTTTTTATGTGGGAAAATACAAAATTATGCTAGACAGATATTTCCCCAGGAGTAACAAATGCAAAGTACTCCACTTAGGAAACAACAATCAGTTGCACACATACAAATGGGAAATGACTGCCTAGGAATGAGTACTGCAGAAAGGGATTTGGGGGTCATAATGGAGCAGGTCCTCAAGGAAACAATTATGAAACATTTAGAGGAGAGGAAAGTGATCAGGAACAGTCAGCAT